TTGACGAAATACTCAACAAGGCTATTGCTTTAGAGGCATCAAAAATTGACAGCAAAGAACTTTCTAAACCTAATCAGACATAAAGTTTTAACAATTTTACTTCTACCGAATCTACTAATGTGATTTCCAGCAGTTACAGAACTTCCAGAAACCGTTGGAAAGATCCAGGAAACAGAAGATTAAACTCAAACAGCAGATATTCACCTGAAAACTACAAGTCTAGATCATCTAGATCTGCCTCCCGAAAAAGGTACATCGACTTCAAGGCCTTGGGAATTGAAAACGTATGTTTGCGATGTGGTAAAAATAGTCACAAGGCAAGTAACTGTAGAGTAGACTATAAGGGGCGGTTCACGAGCTCGGGACCATCGTAGTCCGAGCCCAGAATCCGGAAATAACCGGTATTTGGGCCGCGACTTAAAAAATCGGGTTCACGAGCTCGAGACTATATAAGCCGCGGACCAAACTGATAGGCGGCACACAATTAGTGCAGGGATAAAACCCGGTTTTAAAAGTTGGGTTCACGAGTCCAATTACAGATAGGTCCGGCTCTGATCATTAGTCCCGGTGGGTTCACGAGTCAAGTCCGAGCCCAAATGAGATGGTTCGGGCCCAAAAGAACAATGGTGTTTGGTCTCCAACTCAGACCTGGTAGTAGGCAGGTTTAAGGTGACATGATGCCTGTTTTATCTAATTAGCTCCTTTATTTTTATTATTTGTTAAAAACTAATGTTTAAATGTGGTTCCTCATTAAATTCCAAACAATTTCATAACCCACAACACCTTATTAAAAAAATATGTAAAAAGGCTCATAAAACATGAAAAAATCATCAAACAACTTAAAACGACAAATAAATTATGCACGTAAGACCCCGGCCACACGAGGCGAATTTAAGCCGCGCGAAGTACCTGGCCACACGGGGCGGATGAACCGCTTCCTGTTGGGTTTCAGTACTCTATTTAAACATAGTTCAGTTCACTCTTTTTAGTCGTGGACGAAACATTATGTTAGTTTGTGCATTAGAAGCGTGTGGTGGTGATTTTGAACCAAATGTTAACAGAAATCATTGGGTTCATCCCTTCCTAACGGAAAAACCATTTGTGTACCGAACTTTTTACGAGCACATGCGAAACCATAGTTCGGAGTTATTTTGGTTATTACCGTATGTATGTGTTTAGTGTTACTGCATCGTTCGACAAGTTACTTGAATTGCGCCAACCACATATAGCTAAAGAAAAATACACTCATGAGAAGTTCAATTAGTGCTGAGGAACGTCTGACAATAACATCAAACAGTTTTTTAACACCACACAACCGGTAACAAAAACACAAAACAAACTAAAAAAGCACTGGAAGTGTCCGAAGAATATCTCTAATAAGCGCGGCTGCCGCGCGGTCGAACCGTATCGTGTGGCCACTCTCATAAGACTACGTGTGTCATCCCCCCCAACGCGGCTTAACTTCGCGCGGTCGGGGTACGACATGGCGCGGCTCAACCGCACATGCGGCTAAACTTCGCCTCGTGTGGCCACTCTCATTTGATTCAATGTGTTGTCGAGCCCCTTAACTTCGCGCGGCTTAACTTCGCGCGGTTAAACCGCCTCGTGTGGCCGGGGCCTAACAAAGTAGTATCATAACAAAGATATTTTACTGATAAACCCCATGTTATTACAATTTTAACGACAAAATTAGAATATAAATATAACTAATCAGCCACAGTTAAACCACCGTTATCTAACATAATTACAGTATCAGAAATAGTTTTTTGCTGTGGGAAACATCAAGCAAACCGTCAGTCGTTGAGTACGGTTCGCGGTGGTATCACCGTCATGTGTTGTACCCACTGGTCGCCGTGTGTATTGATATGACTATGAAATATCTATACTGTATTATGTTAACAATTATGTACCATCACTCCACTACCTCGCATAGGACCAGCTCGTTATCATGACTAAAACCCTTTTATGACTTGATGAATTTAAAGATAGATTAAAATGTTCCAAAGATGCCGTCAATGAGTCATTTGAGGCGTTCACTCCAAGGCACGGATTTCCCGACAACAAAATCCATTACAGTATTCTAAATTGAAAAAAAATGTCAGTTGTACTAATATTTTTGGCTGATGGCACTTTTCATCGAGAAACTGGTGATTTATTGGATGTTAGTAAAGCTTGGATGATAGCTATTTGTTTGGTAATGAAAGCAGAACAAATCAAATTTTCAGTTCGAAACTATGCCCAAAGAAAAAAAACAATGTTTTCCTAAATATAAACGTAAATTAAAGACGTTTCTGTAAATTAAAAACCATTGCTGTTAACATTAATAATATTACGAGCTAACTGCAGAATATTATTTTCAACATTTTAAAGTTAGATTATGAAAGAGTGTAAGAATAACGGAAAAAATATTCTTAGGTTACAGCCACGATTAAATCCAGCACACACATACGATTTTTATATCTAATAATCACTACCTCTAAATACATTTTAGTTTCAATAATTGTACCATTTAAATAAGTTTAGTTAAAATTATCCTATCCAAAAATCACCATCCTAAATTATCGGGCATTTATGCAAAATAGGCATTCATCCGGTTATAAATACCCTGTTATTTTATGTCATGCATCCCAATTGAATTATAATAATGCACACAGAAACATATATTTCACTAAAGACTTCCATTATCTGATTTCATACAAACTTGGATTGTTGTGTTTATAAATCAATAAACTTAGATAGATTATCATAGGCGAGCATTGGGACAATGAAATACAAGAAAAATAATCGTTTTGGACATTTTGGTTCAGCCTTTTTTCACGATCATCCTGTATGGAAGTGCGTATGTCAGCAGTAGTAGCTTCACATGTGTTTCCAGACTGTTGTTAGTGGTTGTTACCAACGCCTCAACAGAAATTCCCTGTGAATCCCTGTCATTAGGCTCCGCTACGGATTTGGTCTCGACCTACACTGGGCCCGGCTTTCACATCATTAGGCTCTGACTCGTGAACCCATTTTTTGGTCGTCGCTTATATAGTCCGGGACCAATGTCTGGTCGCGGACTATGAAGTCCCGAGCTCGTGAACCGCCCCTAAGAAGCTCTCGTGTAATAACTGCAAAAGGAAAGGACATGTATCAAAAGTTTGCATTCAATCACTACTCAAAAATTCAAAAGTAGATTTAATTGAACCGTACTTAAATTCAGATACTAATAGTGAACAGTCCAATCAACCTTTTCATGACCCAACATACGACATTCATAGCATGAATTGTACTGTAGTAGACCTTTTTGAAATGACTCCTGATCTCGACAAATACCTCATTGATGTAGAATTAAACGGCAAACGTCAACGTTTTGAAGTCGATTCTGGTGCAAAATTTTCCCTACTTTCAGAAAGTGATTTCAAGAAACTCAAGCTTGGCCTTCCCCTACAGAATTCTAATGTTTGCTTTCGTTCATACACAGGTAACATCATTAAACCTGTTGGGAAGGTATCTGTTACTGTATCTTACAATGGTAAACAGATAGATTGTGAACTACACATCGTACCTGCAGGACATGACGCTTTGTTAGGTAGACAGTGGATTAGAGGGTTAGAAATCGAGCTTCGGCAGGTGTATGAGGAAATGTTTCAGAAACCTTCAAACCACGTTCCGATTCACAGTGTAAATTCAATAAACGAAATTTTAAGTAATTTTGCTCCCATTTTTGAAGAAAAAGTAGGATTGAACTTTAAAGTCTCCCTGCAGCTTCGAGAAGGCGCAAAACCGATCTTTACGAGGGAAAGAGATCTGCCATATGCACTGCGAGAACAAGTTGAAAAGGAACTGGATACACTTGAAGCTAAAGGAATAATTTCCAAAGTCACAATTTCGGATTGGGGATCACCTCTTGTTGTAATACGCAAACCTAACGGCGGAATCCGCCTATGCGTTGACTACAAGTGTGGGGTTAACGACAGATTAGTACAAGCAAATCATCCAATACGTCGCATTGATGACGTGCTCAACTGCCTGAGAAACTCTAAGTACTTTTGTAAGCTTGATTTATTTAAAGCTTATTTACACCTGCAAGTTGATGAAGACAGTAGCAAAATTCAAACTATTTCCTAGACTAGTTCCTCGACAAACTCAAAAGATTTTTGGGTTTGGTTACATACTACTCAAGATTTGTACCAGATTTTTCTACAATGACATTTCCACTCAGATGTCTACTGAAGAAATCAGAACCATGGATGTGGACAGCTACTTGTAAATCTGCATTTCTAAAACTCAAATCGGAACTCTGCAGTGACAGAGTGATAATTCCATTCGACCCTAACCTAAACCTCATCCTGACAACTGATGCTAGTCCTACAGGTGTCGCATCTGTACTAAGTCACGAAATCGAAGGAGTGGAACGTCCGATAGCATACGCGTCTCATTCTTTGAATCCGAGTGAAATGAACTATAGTCAACTTGATCGAGAGGCATTGGCGATAATCTTTGGTGTCAACCATTTCTACAACTACCTACTTAGCAAGAAGTTCATTTTAGTTACAGACAACGAACCATTGACAAGGATTTTTCACCAAAATAAAGCTCTACCACAGATGACGTCAGCTCGCCTACTGCGATACGCTTCATTCCTCTCCGGATTTGATTACATTGTTCGATTCAAGAAGGGAAGTAGCAATCAAAATGTAGATTGTTTATCAAGATCTCCAGTCAAAACATGCAGTAGTTCAACAGATCAACAAATCGGGGAAGAAGTGAACCAGCTTTATTCTCAATCACTTTTTCAAGTATCCAACCGTGAAATAACTTCAAAGACAATCAAAGAAGAAACCGCAAAAGACCATGAAATGAATGGAATAGTTCGAACCCTGAAAAACAATTCTACTGACTCAGAATACACCCTACTTGACAGTATATTGTTTCGAAAAGACAGAATTGTAATTCCAACATCTTTACGCTCCAAAATACTCAGTGAACTTCATTAAACTCATCTGGGAATAACCAAAATGAAGCAACTCGCTCGACGCTATGTTTACTGGCCAGGAATTGACGGTGAAATCGAAAGACTAGTTAAAGGATGTAAAAGTTGTGCCCTAGTGAAAGCAAGTCCACCTAAAGTGTCAGTACATCCGTGGAACCTACCTGAAAATAACTGGGACCGCATACATATAGATTATGCCGGCCCTTATGGAAATCGCTATCTTCTTGTTTGTATTGACGTAAGATCCAAATGGGCTGAAATCGAAGTGTTGAAGGAAGCACCCACATCTTCAAACACAATCAATCTGTTAAACAAGATATTTGCTACACATGGGTATCCGAAAGAATGCGTTTCTGATAATGCTACAATATTTACAAGTGAAGAATTCAGAGCTTACTGCAAGATCAACGGCATATTCCAAAAGTTCATTGCCCCTGGGCATCCAGCGACAAATGGCCGCAGAACGCAACGTACAAACCCTGAAGAACAAATTAAAGTCAGCTTCTGAAGAACCTGGAACCCTGACAGACAAAGTGAGAAGAATCTTATTCCGTTATAGAGCTACTCCATTAGCTATTAACCAAGCCCCTGCTGAACTCTACCTCAATAGAAAATTAAGGATTCGACTTGATGCTATTTTTCCTTACCAACACCCTAAATCAAGTATCCAGCCTGTTTTAAAACCTGTCAGATCAATTCAAGAGGGGGAGAGAGTGCAAGTTCAAATATTCAGTACCAACAGACAAGTTTGGCAGTTTTGAGTAGTAAAGAAGAAACTAGGAAAAAGACATTACATAGTAACACTCGATAGTGGAAGAAATATCAAGAGACACATTAACCAGCTTAGACTAACTCTAGTAATGAAAGAAAAGATGGTAACATTTGAACCTAAGCAATCATTTGATGTACCAAGACTTCCAAACCAAACTCAATCTTATCCTGATCAAAGACCCGACCATATTGAACCAGAACCAGACCAACCTACAGAAGTTAACATTCCAGTTCGCTCTCCACAACCAATAAGACAACGACGACAGCCACCTTGGTTACAAGACTTTATCGTTCAAAAATAGTTTATGTTCTTCTCAATAAGTGAGGGAGAGTGTCATAATCTTGTTCTATTACTCTATTCTAAATAGTCAGCTGTTGGTAAATATTAAATAGTAAACACTTCTTATTGTTACTTTTGAAAACATTACACTACAAACATCTATGTTGTTAAAATAAAGAGATATAATTTACAATGTGTGTGTATTTCAATAGTACGGTCACAACATTCACTGTATTGGATCAGACACTTACAGTAAACTTAGGGATATGAGTGAAAATTTAAAAACGTACGTTTTCAGGAAAACACTTTGCAAATTCTTTTCCCCTTTTTTCAAAATTTTTATTATTTTTTTTATTTCATTAACATTTGAAGTTTCATAAAATGTCCATGGTAACGCAATATCTTTGGTAGTTTCTTTTTAAAAGAGCATCTTTAGTGGAAAAACACAAAATCCTGTCACGACCATAACGGACGTTTAAATGAATATTAAAAATAGTTAATATTATTTTTATAACTATGTTTTGCTATAAACTAATTTACTTTTATGACCATTATACAATAAAAAGGTCACTGAGCTTTTGGTATATTTGGTCTTTCTAAAAAAAAATAAAACACTCAAAAAATTGAAAAAAAGGCAATAAAATCTTTTTAAGTTTGCATAACTCCGAAAAAACTTACCTGAGACCCGAAAAATCGTTATGTGTGTATAGAGGTGTGCTTCTTTTGTGTATAAAACATTGAAATATGACGATATTTTAATTTTTGAAATCTTTATGATAGAAATCATAAACGTGATGGTCAGGGACAAGCGGTACGGTCGTGAATTGTCTGGAATAATCTAAATCTTTCTAAACAATCCTTCAATTATCCTGTTAGTTATAATAAAAATATGTGTTTCAATTGAACTAAACTGTTCAATTTACAATTATATTAAAGTTATTGTCACGACCAAACACTCTATAATCCATAAGGCTGGATTGGTCGTGAAAAAAACGGCGATGGTCGTGAAACTTTGGTCGTGAAATTACGTGTTATTTGGCTCTGTTCTGGCGGTAGCCCTTATCCTCATGTTCGAGGATACAAAGTGGACTTCTAGGTTAATCTATCAATTGAAATATCTTATAAACAAAAATTAACACCATGTCTACTTCATCGAATGACTACGTACGGTCATGGACACACCAAAATTACAAAAAACACAATCTTTCCTTTATTAATCTTGTAATTCTTCCTTTCAACTCGAAACGACCGGCACTACAATCCTGACGTACACCCCGAACTAGTCTCTAAACCCAACTGACTCCATCGACGCCAGGCTTGCCACTGTCGTGCTCCAAAGTTGAAAATTTTTCCCAAATGGTCGTGACGCCAAATCGAGGGACAGACTTATTTTGTCATGGTAGTCAGTTTGTAATGACAATAAAATTATAATATGCTCCTTTTTTGTAAGTTTAATAACCATTGATAACATAAAAATATGGCTTTATATATTTCGGCATGAATAATTAGTCTAAAAACAGCGTGAAAGTTGGAAAATGTACCCTTGGGACACGTCATGGTCGTGAATTTCGAGACTTTAAAAATACGAAAAAAATACCTACAACCTATTTAAAACCAAATAAATGTGTGTAACATGTTGCCCCCGTCCCAAAAAATATTAAAACACATAATAATAAACTACAAATCTAGTATCTACGAAGTAAAAGGCCAGGGACATGAAAACGTACGTTTTTAAATTTTCACTCATATATTGCATCCTGTATCACCTATAACTAAATCCTATGCTGAATTAGTTCAAACTCTTAATTCACATTTTACACCGAAACCAAATGAAGTATCAGAGACATTCAAATTTCATTATAGACACCGATGAAGGAGAAAACGTTTCTGAATTTTCATTGGATCTTAGAAAGTTGTCTAGATATTGTAATTTCGGCACATTTCTGCCAAAAGCCCTGAGAAACCAATTCATACTCGGACTAAGGGATGAAAAAATACCCCCGCCGCAGCAAACCTGCAGACTAAGCGAATTTCCATTTGCCTGATTGGATTTACACTAAAATGTCTACTTAAAAATATAACATTTATTCCCTATTCAAATAGAATTAGTTTAACAAGTACTTAGGTTTGCTGCATCAGGGAGGGTAAAACTGTTTTTTTTTTATAAAATGTTAATAGTTAGTAAGAAATAAAAACATTTTCCAAATTTGATCAAAATATGTTCATAAACAAGCAAACTACAACAGTTTACTTATTCTCCATAAGAATAACATGGGAATTTTAAATTTACAATTTTTTGGAATTTTTTCCATAACCATTAGGCGCATAATAACGCTTCAATATACTAAATTATTTGTTTTTTTAAGCTCTACAAAATGGTTTGGAAAGAAATTGCTAAATTTTATGTTTTTTGGGTCAAAAATGGGAAAACCCTATTTTTACCCCATAAAACCCCCCGTAAACCCCCGTTCCCATGGTCCGATCATGCTGGATCGCGAACTCGTTCAAATAAACGTAGGTTTACACGTTTGTACCAAATTTCATCAAAATCGGATCATTTTTGCTCGAGTTATCGTGCTAACGGACACATATATATATATATATATATATATAAATATATAAATATATAAATATATAAATATATATATATATGAATTTGAACGGATGGTGTTTTTGGCCTCTAGGGACCTCAAAACGAAAAAAAAAATCGGTCCCGCGTCCAGGTCTTACCATGAGTACTACGGTAATAGCTTATTCCCTATATGGTAAATTCGCTAATACAGACAAGGTTAATTACTCTAAGTGATAGTGATTTGAGTTTTGAAAAAGCTGTAGACATGGCTCAAGTCATTAAAAAGGCTCAAAACGATTCAATAACAATCCAATCAAAAGTCAAACATGAAAACAATGAATTGCCGGTTAACTTAAATGTTGTACAACAGAAAAGTTTTCAAAAACCTAAAAACAGTACCAATCTAAAACAATGTTATCGTTGTGGAGAGTTACATGAATACATATCTGAATGCAAACACAAAAATACAACATGTAACTTCTGTAAAAAAATAGGGCATCTAGCAAAGATTTGTTTTAGGAATACAAATGCATCTATCAAATTGCAAAGACAACATAAGACTACATTTAACACTACTTCAAGAAATGTAAAACAAATAACAGACTCGTTCGAAGATCAAAGTGAAATAATTCTACAACAAAATATGAACAATTCTGTTGGATCCCCCTATAAGGAAACTAATGTTATTGACATTTGTTCTACGAATACCTCAGAAGATAAATTTAGGAAAATTATGTTAAACATAAAAATAAATGGGAAACCTACCTATTCAGTTTGAACTAGATACAGGAGCAAGGGTGTCTTTGATGTCAAAAAGTAACTTTTCTAAGTTTTTTCCAAAACACAGACCTTTAATGAATCCAGACATAATCTTAAGAGATAAAAAAAATGAATTTGTTCCTTTGGGTAAAACCATTCTTCAGGTTGGTTACAGTAACCATAAACCAAATATCTTCCATTGTATGTATAGTCGATGGTAATAGAGATACGATATATTTGGTAGGGAATGGCTGAGATCGATTAAAATATTGGTCAGACATAAATAACGTTCATAGAGCTGACTTGAATAGAGTTAAACACTCAAATCCCAAAGTACATGATATTTTAATGGAATTTAAATCCATATTTGAACCTAGAGTTGGAAGTTTCAAAGGGGGAGAAGCACTTCTTAACTTAAAGCCTGACACTAAACCAGCTTTTAAAAAAGCTAGACCAAGACCTAATGCTGCTAATGCCTAATGCTATAACCTTATGCTTTGTTACCAAAAGTTAGTGCAGAAATCGACAGACTAGAAAAAGAAGGTATAATTACAAAGGTGAATCAGAGTTTTTGGGCTACTCCAGTTGTACCGATTATGAAGGCAAATGGGAATATCAGACTATGTGGAGACTACTAAGTAACCCTCAAGACTCAGCCGATGTTCATGAAATTGAACAAATCTATACTTTACCTGTCACAGCTGAAGAAATAGCAAAAAATACACAATCTGATCCAGATCTTAGAGATATTTATCAATCACTAATCAGAGGGGAGCCAATCCATCACCCGATGTCTTCTAACGAACAAGAATGGTCAATTCAGCTTGGATGCTTATTAAAAGGGAATCGTGTGGTGATTCCCAAACAACTTCGTGCAAGAATTTTGAAAGAACTTCATGAGGCTCATGTGGGTATAGTTCGCATGAAGGCACTAGCTCGTTCGTATGTTTGGTGGCCTAAAATTGATGCAGACATTGAGAATATGACCTTAAATTGTTTGGGATGTCAACGAGTACAGCATGAATCACCCAAAGCACCATGCAGTTCACCATTGGGAATATCCTTCAAGGCCTATGCAAAGAATTCATGTTGATTTTGCTGGACCATTTTATGGTCATTATTTTCT